AAACCACTGTCCTACCGATGACAACGTGCGGAAGCTCGAACGTGTTCTCCAAATTCCATCAATTCAAACAAAATACCTCGACTCGCGATCGCGCTCTTTTTCGATGCACAGTCGTCCAAGACGTCGGCTGCGCGGCACTGTGCCAGAGACGGTTGTACGGGGGACACCACCACCACATACACCGCACATGCCTCTCCTGCTCACGCCGGGGACTCCACCACCTGGCGCAGACATTCAAATCCCTCTCACGCCACGGTGGTCGCGCCGTAGGATGCCCCTGATCATCTCCTGGAGCCGGCACCCGTAGCGGTGCATAGAGTCGCCACTGGTCTGCGTCCACGGGATACAAGTGTCCCGACTGCAGCATTGGCAGCAGTCCCACGTGCGTCACGGAAATCGGGCGCAAAATGACATCCTGGCCAGCCATCCCATCATGCTCATCCAGCGCGCTCTGCACTGCGGCCTCCGCACGGGTCTTCAGTGGAAAATACCACTGTCCCTGCCGTCCTTGCGGACACTCCACCTGACCCATCCGCTCCAGGTGTAAGTCTTGGTCTCTGTTCAGACCCACCCACAACTTCAAGGCCACTCCTCCATGCCCCACGCATTCGCCTCCTGCCACCTCCGGGCGCGCATTTGCGGCGGGGACTACACCACCTGCCGCAACATATCCAGTCGCCATGGCCAGGTCGGTCGCTCGCTCGCGGTCTTGGCACGCACTTTCTCACAAGCCCAAATGCTCTGTGGTCACCCAAGTGCTTGCACACACGAATGCCGTAATACCGTCCTTTGCTCTCTTTTGACTTCAACGACACTGAGGTCCCCGCCACAGCAAGGACGCGCGTACCGTCTCTCCCAAAATGGCTGCAGTCGATCATGCAACAAACCATCGGGTTTCCCGAACACACACGCAAGCATTTCATACGAGACTTCTCGCCCAAAGGTCGCGCGCCAAGTTTCTTATTGGACACTCTTGTGGGACACTCTTGTGGCACCCTCTGGTACGACATCCTCCGCGCGAGACTTCCTGCAAAACTCTGACGTCCAGTACCCAAAACGAGCGTTTCGCGCGAGATTTCCTCCGAAACTCTGACATCAAGTCTCCAAAACGAGCGTTTCGTACGAGACTTACTCCAAGAGTCACGCGTCAAGTCTCCAAATCGAGCATTTCGTGCGAGACTGTGGCCAAAACTCACCCTCTACCACAACTCACAACCTCCCGATTCCCTGCGCTGGCCACGAATCTTTCCGCGTCCACACCTCTAACGTGCACAAAGTACTGCGCCTGTCACGAAATGTCACCTCCGTCACACATCGCAACCTCACGATTCCCTGCGCCTGCCACGAAAATCACGCTTCCACGAGTCTCCAAAACGAGCGTTTCGTACGAGACTTACTCCAAGAGTCACGCGTCAAGTCTCCAAATCGGGCATTTCGTGCGAGACTTCCTCCAAAACTCATATGTCAAAGTCTGCCCAACGAGGATTTCGTACGAGACTTCCTCCAAACGACACCCGCTCAAACGCCAATCCCAATGTGACAGCGACATTCACCTCCACCGCAACTCACAACCTCACGATTCCCTGCGCCTGCCACGAATCCTTCTGCGCCCACACGTCTAACGCGCACAAAGTATACTGCGCCTGCCACGAAATGTCACCTCCGTCACACCTCGCAACCTCACGATTCCCTGCGCCTGCCACGAAAATCGCACTTCCACACCTCAAAGCCCGCGCAAAGTACTGTGCCTGCCACGAAAAGTGCCAATATCATCTCACGTGAGCTTCAACAAAATTTGCACCACACCACACGTTTGGAATGATTTCGCCCCGTTCTGAGCACACTCCCACCCACCAAAATCGCCATTTCAGCTGAGACTTGTCACGAAAACAGAGCTTCGATGCCACACCCTGAAACGCAAATCCCAATGGCACGGCCACACCCAACACCCAAAAACACGACTCTCCAAACGCTAGTCCCAATGGAACTGCGTAGCAAACTGCGGATCTCACAAAACGCTGCGCCTGCGCAGCGAAATGCATCACGCTTCTTGCGCGACATGTCCTTTTCACGCGAATCACAATGGACTCGCGTCGCAAACTGTGACACATCCATGCATAGTCACTTGCAAAAGCTTCCCCCAATGGCAGCGCCTTAGCGCTCTACCGCGAACGGTTGCGGACAGTTGCGAACGGTTGCGGACGGTTGCGAACGGTTGCGAACGGTTGCAGACGGTTGCGAACATAGAAACAACGGGTCGCGAACAAGGCTCTACCCCCAGACCCCCAAAGAGTTAAACGAGAACCCTTCGCTACGCATTCGGGAAAAATATCTGCAGAACTACACCTCTGCACAATCACCTTCTCACCTCTGCACATCTACATCTCTGCTCATCTTCACATCCTCACACATACATCTCAGCTCATCTTCATCTTCACACATCTACATCTCTGCTCATCTTCATATCTGCACATCTACATCTCTGCTCATCTTCACATCCTCACATCTACATCTCACATCTTCACCTCTCGCTCCTCTTAACTTTCTCTCTTAAGGCCGGGGCAGCGCCGCCGGATCGCCCCGAAACGCGACCCTCTGCGGAGATCGTGCGTGTCGAATGCGCGAAATGCAGGCGAGAGTGCGTTTTGGATTTGGCGCGGGCAACCCTCTGCAGAGATCGTGCAATGCGCGAAACGCAGGGGAGAGTGCGATTTGTCCCGGTCCGGAGCAACCCTCTGCGGAGATCGCGCCTGTCGAATGCGCGAAATGCAGGCGAGAGTGCGATTTGGCCCGGTCGCGGGCAACCCTCTGCGGAGATCGCGCATGTCGACCTTGTAGTACAACTTTAGTACGCGGAGCAATCTGTGGGGCTGGAAGCTGAGAACTGGCGACTTTGTAGTACAACTTGATTACGCGGAGTATCTGGGGAGCTGGAAGATGAGAACTGGCGACTTTCTAGTACAACTTTAGTACGCGGAGTATCTG